ACTGTAAGTGTGACTCCTTTAAACGAAGTCGCACACCCACAGAGGGAAGTAATCTGCAGGCTGCTGTGGTGAGTGTTGCCTAGCGGTCTTTGAGAAAGGCGCGTCTTCCTCCCGGGATAATTAGGGCAAAGAATCCTCTCAACGATGCCTGCGAGGACCAGAGATCCCTGAAGGAGGAAGGGAAGCCAGCCCTAGCACATCCCTCAGCAGGAGGAGCTGCCGGTCTCTGAGTCTGGCAAAGCGCCTGCTGCCCTTTGCTGGCTGTGGCACCAACAACCTTGTCACATAACAGCGCATTCGCAGGCTCTGCTGCTCCGTGGCTAGTTTCTTAAACACCCATGTCCCCCACTGCCTTTGACCGTTTCTGTTCTTCTGGAATGAGATGATTACTCAACATGTTCTTGAGAAGTAAACTGTAGACTATATAAACTCAGCGATAGTGGGTCGGTGTGCAATTTCACGAAACCAAAGAATTTAACTGTTGGCATTTGTACTATGCTAGGTAAATGCAGGAGGCTTTAATTCGTTCGTTTCAATGATAGAATGTTTTGTTCATTTCAATGATAGAATACTTTACTAGTGAAATTACGTAATGGGAAAACATACAGTTAATTCCAGTGAAATTAACACGGGTATAATAATGTCAGAGTTTTAATTTTTTTAATTATTTTAATTGCTCCTGGTCCATTACACTGAAAGACTAACAAATAACTAGGGAAAAGGGCAGCTTAAGAGCATCTTTTTTTTTTTTTTTTTTCCCTGAGCTTTCCCTCATTTTGTCTTCCTGCTTTAATAACCTCCTTCAATTCACTCATTCATTGTTTCAAAGAGATACACCAGAAGGGCAATTTCAGGACTCTAGCATTCGCTAGCAGAATGCAATGTGTCTCCCAAAATGTGTGATTTTAAAAGGAAGGTACCTTATTCAATTCAAGATTGGGTTCCTGTTCACACCTACTCAAGCTGAGGGAACACTGTCTGACACACGTAGACTCTTGATGTCTTCACAATAAATTTGTCACAATTGTTAGCTGATGACCTTTGGGTTTTGTTTAGATGATTGCAACGAAGGTGAAAGAACAGAGCAGCAGTGGTATATTATTTGGAAGAGGTGGAAGTTCTTTGATTTTTTTTTTTCCTGGATGTTTTGGCACTAGGAAACTGAGAACAGATTCATTCTGTTGTAATGTGCTCCAAATGCATGAAGCAATATAGAGGAATGGCAATGAGTCGGTCTTCCAGTTTGGCAAAAATCCTCGCTGTGAGATGGAAAGTTAAAATTTATATCTATTTGACGATCATTCAAAATGCAAGTCTTTCCCCTGCCTCTCTTCATAGCTGAGTTACTTTAGAATTCCTGTGAGGAACAGCAGCAAGAAACCTAAAGCTTTCAGGCCTAGCTAAAGCCAGTATAAGACACTGACAGTTTAGTGGCCACTGAGCATGGACTTCACTTTCTTAGGCTTCAGTGTTCTCATTAATGACATCAGGGAGTTATTTAGAGGGTTTCCAAGCCTCCTACCTCCTCTTTATCTTGTGTGTGTGTGTGTGTGTGTGTGTGTGTGTGTGCCCTATCAGCCTAGAAGTGTAAATAATGTGTAATTATTTAATGTCAACTTCATAGAAGTCAAATTTATTTGGCCTAAAGTTTATATTCTTGTAGTACCAAAGGCTTAGAAAAAAAACTGTCTGAGTATGGTTTCATGAAATTTTAAAATTAATTTTTGCTTTTTCTGAAAGTCTTCTGCTTCTCTGACTGTTATTCCTTTCTCTGGAAGTCTGCTTCATTCAGACATTAGCTGTCCTCACTACTTCTTATTACTGCAGGAAAGCCAGACAGTCAGGCCTGGGGGTTTCCTGACAAGTCATTGAGTTGGTTTGTTTCTTGGAAGGATCCACACAGCTTGTAATTTCTATCAATCAACACAATATCAATATTTTCTAAATGCAAAGCTAAAGGAAATTGTCTAACACACCACTCACAAAAACACACAGATAGACAGGGTCTAAACCAAATATGCTCAAGATTTTCTTGGGCATTGGTCATATGACCATAAAAACATGATCTTCTACTTAGGATAAATGATTTCAAAGATTCAGAAAGTATAATGGAAAATACTGTCTATTGTCCCAGTATTTTTTAATAGTATTTATCACATACATTTGAGAGAAATAACAGCTGTAAAAAAAAGTACCAAAGACAATGATGAAATTTTAGTTTTACAAAAAGATTGTTAATGAGAGAATACCAAGGTGGTGGTTGAGCTTTGGTGTCTGTTTCAAAGACCTTGTATTTGGACATATGTTATTTTCTTGGAATATAATTAATCTTAGCCCACTTACAAAAAACCAAGGCATTGAATACAAACTAGCATGTTTCTTTCTATCTTTCTTTTTTATTCCATTCATGCCTTCAACATTGCACAATTAGATGTTAGGATACTTTATTGGTTTGGATTTTCCATTATCTCTATTTGTCATAGAAATTATGTTTCAGAATGAGAAAATTTCTGATTTCTTCTTAGATCTTTGGTTGTATGGCTTTACCACTAAGTTGGATTGTTGTTTGTTTCATTTATTTATTTACATATTTATTTATTTATTCATTTATTTATTTATTTTGTTTGCTCTTAGAAAAGTATGTAGAGCAATGTTGACAGGAAACATTGAGTTGGGGGCCCTTGTATTTTCAATGTTGTGGATATATTAAATTACATTCAAAACAGAATAAAAGCAGTTTTCACAAAAACACTATATTATTTACTTTAAACTTAGTCTCGTACAGTACTATTTGATGATTTCACATAAATCACTTCACCCATAATGTTGGTAGGTATAATTATTTGCCCTATATTAATGGAAAAGTGAGGGAACAAAGTCAGGTAACTTATGTAGTACCCAATAAATTTATTTAAACATAATGATTAAAAAATAACTTAAAAGGTGATCTCAAAATTCTACATTAGTGGGAATGATTTGATAAAATATTGTGCTTTTAAGATTGATTTAAAACAAAATAAAAAACAAAATCAAATAACAGAACATAGAGGATATATTAACAAGGAAATAAACAAACTAGAGATATTAATAAACACTACTTGGAGACAAAGATCAATAATCACAAATATGCTATTATGACATTGAGTGTGTGTAGATACACTGGAGATAATGGGCCACCAGGATTAAAGAATTCAGATAGCTAACATTAGCACAGATAAATGACATAAATCTCATGTATAAATCATTGTAGGAAACAACACTCTCTACAATCTTTTGATTTAAACTACTGTTTATTTTTTATCATTATTTTCAGGGGGAATTTAGTCAAGTAAGATGAAGCTAATAATCATAAAGAAAACATACATTGCCACAGCAAACTTATCTTCTAGAATTCCTGATTTGTAGTATGTTGATATTAATTATTTTGATCTGAAAGATAAATATTGATATTATATCTAAATAATCATGTCTTTAATGTTCAGAGACACAATAATAGTATGCTTTTCTATTCTGAATTTTTATTTAAGGAATGAAAAATAATTTATTCAGTATTAGTTTATAATAACATTTTTTCCTAAACATCTAGATTTTATTCTCTCTAATAATGATCCACATTTTTAGATTTAATGGGAGAAAATATGTTTATTTCAGATTGGTGGTTATCAGTTGGGGGGTTAAGTTAAAAGCCAGTTAATAATTTCATTTTAAGAAATTAGTAAACAGTGGTCAAGAGATAGCTTAGTTGTTGAAAAGCACTTTCTATTCTTCCAAAGTACATGAGTTTGGCCCACAAAATCCATGGTGGGCAGCTAATGCCCACTTCTGGTTGTGTGGGCACCTATAAAGCACATATATACACAGACACCACACATACACACATACACACACACACATACATACATACATACATACATACATACATACATAAAAATTAAAAAGAAATGGGTAAAATGAGTAAAGCTTCAGAAATATAATTTCTGTCTTCAGCAAAAATTAAAATGTTCCCTTAGAAACTTAACTTACTAGGTATGCATATCATAATCACTGGAAATCTTTCGCTTTTCTTTGACTTTTAAGAGCAGAGTCCATACTGTTGTTAAAGGAACTCTGTAGTGTAGAAGAAAACAATTTCAAATACATCACAGAAAGCCAAGAGCCAGAGAGACTCATGCTGGTTTATTCTTTAATCATC